CCATAAGGCATGGAGAGACAGGGATTCAGGAAATGGAGGCACAATGCCTGAATTTGGGATAAATATTCTTGCTGGTAATGCCTGACATCAAGACAACTTTTCTGAAAATCACCACACCGGATTTATGCCCCTTGATTTCCAACCATGTCTCTTCCCCTGTTGTTAATGCCTTCATAATTACTTCCAATCCCCGAGGGTCTTTATATCTGGCAAGTCGATTCTGCATGCAAGATGTAAAGCCACATTAGTGCCTGAAATTTCAAATTGAAGGAAAAGAAATAAGATCCCCAGCAAGAACAAGCTGTTCTAGATGCTTGAGCCTAATGTGAAATCACACACACAACAGTGCAACAGAGCCAGAGGGAGGAGAGCAAAATCAATATGGAAGCTATTTGCCTGATTTGCTGATGATCTACTAACTCAATGACATGCTCAGCAGCTGCAAATTAATTCTCACTGCGTCAAACCCTCAGCACCTGAATGTTCAGCGTGCTCTATCATAGATTGGCTCGATAGCCTTCATACTATCAGCATCATTCATTCTGAAACTTTGTTCTGCAATTTATTTTCCTGCCCAGCATTGCTAAAATCAGGTCAAGATGCTTCACAGTTATGACCAACATGCGTCCAGGTGCCCTGTGAACATGGTGCACGCAGCTACAATGTACACCCCAACCAAAAGACAGAATTTGTGAAAAGATTAAATTTCATCTGCATATTCACCCAAAGCCAGTTGGTGCATACATTTCTTTCACTATTAAGTTTTTATGTTCAGTGCTTTAGTAGCATGAATTAGAACATATCTGGATTGTAAACAGTGTTATTAAACAACTTCGAGTCACCAATTTTAAGAGTTTGATGTGATGCTTTCTGCATTATGTCCCAACAATGCGCTTCAACCTCAACTCAAAAAGAAAATCTTCCATTACATGATTGCAGTAACTCCATATTCTATATTGACCGTCCTTTCCAATTCAATGAAAATTAAAGAGGTAGGGATTTACATTTATAATAACATCCAATCACGTCCTTATGATGTTCCAAAACAGTTTACAATTCACAGATTACATTTGCAGTGCAGTCTCTTATTACACAAGCAGATGTGTTTGCCCTTTTGCAAATAGGAAGATTTGACAAACAGTGAGAAAGTAAACAGTTACATAAGCTGCGTTCATTGGAGATGGTTAAGAAATGGATATTCAGCTAAACATTGGGAAAACGCCATTTCTTTTTCTTTCCTCCAAGTAGCATCATGACTTCTTTACATTCACTTTGAGCAAGTAAACAAAATTTTGGTCTTAGTTTCATCTGACAATTCAGCAGGACCACTGCAGAATGTGCCCGAGTCTACAGCAAGACCTTCTCAACTTTCTGACAATGGCGTGAGGGAGATAGCAACTGAGCAAAACTGACTGGTACAAAGTCAGTGCTGCTTTTCTCCTGTAAGCCATACTTACTAGAAACTTAAAAGAAGGAGCATGACAGCCCACAAATGATAGTAAGTAAGATTTTCATTTCATCAGATCTTAGACGTTGAAAGAACACACTGTGCCAATCAACGACAGTACTCAATCCCTGTATTCAATAATTTATGTTAAATAGTTTCTAAGATAAAATCATATCAAAGCTACACACTAGACAGCAAACTTTTTACTAGATATTAAGTAAGGTTGTCATTGAATGAGATTATGTGCACTGCATATTGGTCGCTGCACAATTGTGTCATTGATCAGACAGACACGCATCTCTTGAAATATAAAATCAATTTGATGGGCACAACTCTACAACAGATCTTCATTTGTACAGGACGTATTAGAAAATAAGTGAAACAGGGGGAAATTACTTCTCAGTTTCCATTGCCAGTTATTTCCCATTGTGTCTCATCCAAATGAAGATAAGCTACAGTGTTGACTCAGCTGGGCTTCATCTTGCACATTCTAAATTCACTTGATACTACAGGACAAACTAAATGAGTCACACTGGCTCACATGTAGCGATCAGTTATCATGCAGCACACGCAACCGACTGACTCGCACTGAGTTTTACATGGTTGATGGAGTCAGTAATATTAATTTGTACAGCGGCCAGCTGAAGAAATGTAATGATAAATGATAAAAAAAAATTAATGAGAGAAGCACACTAAGGATGACAAGGACCAAAATGACATAGTCTAAAGTGGTTAACGGACATGCAGTAATATTGTAGCTGTTCTAAGAGTGCTTAATGCTGACACTAGGTATAAAGTGGAGTTACACTGTCGTGGTAAAACAGATAGGCCTCAGTATTGTACCAGCCCTCATCATATGGATTCAGATTTAAGACTCTCGACAATAGATGCTTGACGAATTTGAGGAAGGATTCTTTTTAACGCATTAAATGGGAGTGACCTGGAAGTCATTATCAACGATTTACAACAAAAATTGGACATACGTTTGAGGGAAAAATTGCTGGCAGGGCTTTGGATTAGTGTAAGGGAATGAAACAAACTGGAACTCCTTACAGAGAGATGATAAGGATTTGGTTAGTTGAATGGTCTCCTTCTGTGTGGTAACAGATGATATAAACATTTTCTCTACTGTTAAAAAGAATAACAGATTTTGATAAGGGGAGACTAGTTCAGTTTAGGAAACCTGGTTGGCACGGACCGTTTGGGCTGAAGGGCCTGTTTCTGTGCTGTACGACTCTATGATTCGATGTATGGAAAATGTACTTGCTGGTGAGCTAATAACTAAAGAGCATTAACTCACCACCAAAGGATGTTAAGAATATTTTTTTAATGCCAAAGGTTCTTCCAATATGGAATTTCCCACCATAATGATTTTCTTAAAATGGTCTTACTATAAAAAGAAAAACTTGAACAAAAGAAAGGAGAAGAAAGGGAATTCTGTGTCAGTTTTTTGTGTTCTGCTATAGGTGCAATGAGCAGAATGGGCCTCTATTACCGGGCATCAGTCTCAAAATGCTGCTTGGCAGGAACAGTTCCTGGATGTGTAATTCACACATGAGGGGTACCCTGGTTGATGTAACTTGCAACCGAAGGGAGAAATAACAACTTACATTGATGCGGCATCTTTCATGATCTCATGAAATGTCTTCACTGTGGTAGTAAAAGAAACTGGATCCAATTAGTGCACTGCGTGTTCAAACACAAGCAACAATGTGATAAGCTGCTTTCAGGATGTTGACTTGGACATTAATATTGGCCAGGACAGCAGGCATAAATCCTGTGCACTCCTCTGAAAAAGGTGCAATGGCACCTTCTACATTCACCTAAATCTTGGTTTAACATCTCATTCAAAACGTGGCACCTCCAATAGTGTAGCGTTGCCCCAGTACTGCACTGGAGTTGTCATCATTGATATTTCCACAGGCCTTTATTGTGCAATCTTCTATTCAGAGATCAGAGAGCTTTGAACTGAAGCATGGCCGACCATCTTTTCTGAGCCCTTTTGGTCTTCTCACTATTCAGAACAGATCACTTCATTGGGAATTGTGAGAATGACAGCATTAGAAATGGCCTACAAGCTCTGATCCTGTCAGCAACTGACAGCGAGAAAGAGAACATGACAAAGAGAAGCACAAACTGGGGTGGGGAGGGGAAGAGAGGGGAGAGAAAGAGAGAGACAGAGAGAATGAATCACAAATTATGGAAAAGAGAAAAACATAACATTGAGATAGAGAATGTCATGCTAGCCTATGATGAGCTCTCTCAATATAATGGGTTTTGTTCATAAAATCAGATCCTTTGAAACTGTTCTCTAAGCAATGAGCCTCACTTCCCCCAAGATAAAAAGTGGTAGGATGTAGGAACCAGAAAACTGATTTAGGCCCTGATTTTAGCTTTTGAAACTGCTATTGTCAAAAAGTCACGAAACTTTACAAACATTTCAATTAGCAGTCACAATAATCAAAACCTTTGGCCAAACAATGGTATTTGCTTAATGTTTCGCGTGGAGTTCTATTTTGTAGGAACATCACAGAAGATTTTATACATTTGCAGTAACATTTGCAAACAGTAGGGAAAATGTCACATGCTGTAACAGAGTCAAATGGTCAAACTTCCTGGAATATATTCAACCAGAGTTGGCAAGTTTAAATGTTTTTTTAAATGAATGGGTTCCAACGCCCAGGCACTATTTTAACAAAAATGTGCTCCTCCAATATTCCTTTCTCAACCAGATATTCTCGAGTCTTGTGTAAAGTATCTGCTCCATTTCCTGACATAAGATTCACTGGATTTCAGATCATTTGCAGGAAGGTAGTGGTCAACTAGCTCATTAAGCCTGCTGCATATTACAATGGCTACAGCATCCTTACTAAATGCTTAAGTATGACTCCAATCAATAGAAACCCACTCCCCACCCTCCATTTTCCGTCTGCATGAAGTGCATCAATTCACTGGAACTCTCTTGGGCATAATCTATTAATCACTTTCCAGCTTGTTCTGCCATTTAGATAGATTGTGGTTGATCTATATTTTAATTCCATCTACATGCCTTCGTTCCTTAACCCTTAATGCCCTTGTCTAATGTAAATCCATCAAACATAGTTTTGAAACTGTCAGCTGACCTGACCCCTTTGGGGCAGAGAGTTCCAGATTTCCACCTCCCTTTGAATAACAGAGGACCACCTGGCAACATCTTAAAAACATTATTAGAATACACGTAATAAACATATTTCAGGAAATACAGTCCTAGTTTCTGTAGCAGTCCTCATAGTTTGGCTCTCTTAGCCCCAGCAAAAGCCTGGTGAATCTGCCCTCAGCATCACCTCCAAGGATACCTTTCCCATAATGACACAAAGTTACCTGCTACATCTTAGTATAAATATCTTATGTCGAGAACTCAGAACTATCTTTTGTGAAACTTCCCAATTCTAAGCAATCAATATCTTGATGTTCTCAAATTAATTTAGGATTACTAATTAATCACAACTTCTTTCTCGCTCTCTCTCTCTCCCTCTCCCAGGGCCATACCACAGCTACAGTGCCCCGTACTAACCTGCCAGTTGGCCTGCTCGTTGTGATGGTGAAGATGCATTTGACGAAATGACCCCCCCAAATAGTGTTGATTCTGTAGTTCCGCCAAACGGTGTAACATTGGAGCTATTCTTATCCAGGCCTGAAGCTTTTGCAGGTGTCGACTGGGATTCTTGTGTTGGATCAGGTACATAACGTAGATTCTGTGTGCTGGAGGAAATGCTGTTGTCTCCAGCCTTTGGCTTCAGAGATGGATCTTTCAGCTTGCTCTTACTACTCCCCATTGTTCAACCTAGATGTAAAAGAATTAAAATTATTAACAGACAGAATACTCTTTAAGCATAATAAATCACATTTAAGTACTTTTCTCTTTCTCTCTGATCAATTGGAAAACCATAGCCTTAATGAAAACTATGATTAAAAATGATTTTTAAAAATTATAATTGCAGAAGAAATATGACAGTACTGCTTGGACTAACATTTATGCAGTGCCTTTAACATAACAAAGGGAAAGGTAAATTCACCGTAGTCCTACAGGGTTGCTCTCTCATTAGAGAGAAACATTGTGGTGGTTTAACCTTACAGTCACCACATCTCAGCCAAGGGGAGAGATTGAGAAGGAGAGTCCTTCATGGTAACCTCAACTGGTGCAGGAATTGAACTCATGCTGTTGGCATCATTCTGCAATAGTTCACAAAATATTATCAAATAAAATATGATAATGATCCATACAAGATATTTAAGAATAGATAAGCTGAGTCAAAGAGGTAGGTTTTAATATTTTCATACAACATCAAGTCTACCTTAATTGTGAAGGTAAAATCTTGGAGTCAGGTGGAGGTAAAAATTACACTTTTCAGCCTAAATACAAAATCACATCACTCTTTATTTGCATTAGCCTAGCCCAGCATAAAAACAGCAATACATACAGCAGTTGTCAGCTCAAACTTTACACTAGCCCAAAGAAAATTTACAAACTGATGAACAAGAATCGCGAAGACCAAGTTGTCTACTCCTTGTCAGGGGAACCGATATCTCAAAGCAGTTAGAGAGAAATCCAGAAATGGCCACGTTCTGGTCTATGTTGGAACAACGATATGGACAGGAACAGGAAAGTAGTCATGTCGAGGGACCAACAAACAGCATTTAGGAACGCATTTAAGAAGCAGAACCTTGCAGGTAATGATCTCTGGATTTATTCCAAGAAGCTTGCAAATTGGGATAGAGTCAGGCAGATCAGGTAAGTTCTGAGATAACAAGGTGTAGAGCTGGATGAACACAACAGGCCAAGCAGCATCAGAGGAGCAGGAAAGCTGACGTTTCGGGTCTGGATCCTTCTTCAGAAATGCCCATTTCTGAAAAAGGGTCCAGACCCGAAACATCAGCTTTCCTGCTCCTCTGATGCTGCTTGGCCTGCTGTGTTCATCCAGCTCTACACCTTGTTATCTCAGATTCTCCAGCATCGGCAGTTCCTACTATCTCAGGTGAGTTCTTACTTGTTCATCCTTTGAGACAAAGATGACCATGTTTGTCATCTGCAAAATTATGGGTTCCACAAACAGTTTAGTTTTGGATGAGATAACACAGTGTGGAGCTGGAGGAACACAGCAGGCCAGGCAGCATCAGAGGAGTAGGAAAGTTAACGTTTCGGGTCAGGACCCTTCTTCAGATTTTCGAAACATTAACTTTCCTACTCCTCTGATGCTGCCTGGCCTGCCGTGTTTCTCCAGCTCCACACTGTGTTATCTCTGACTCCAGCATCAGCAGTTCTTACTATCTCTTAGTTTTGGATGAGTTGCTGACTCAAAATTTCCTCTGCTTGCATTTTTCTCTGTTTCCCTAACATGCACTTGCTTTCAAAGAAAGCCACACCATTTTTTATATGGTTGCTTTAGGTGCAGCAACCTTGGGCAAGCTTATCTCTCGTCTTGAACTCAATATCAAGACTCCTAAATGAAACCTGGTAGTGTTTCCTTTGAGAGCCATGTCAGGTGAGCTAATACATGGCTAAAGAACATAATGTTCAAAATAGGGAGGTTCTTGTTACGAGCCACAGGAACAAATACTGGGGCAAGAAGGAGCTAACCTCCTCAAGGGGAAGTGTGAAGTACAACATTTTGGTAAGCAAAATGAGGAGGTCACATGTTAGAAAATACGAATTCAAACAGGATGAAGGAGCAAAGTGATCTCGGAACACAAAACATGGATTGTCCAAAGGAGCAATAGAAGTCAAAAAAGTACTAAAATATAGCAAATCAAGTTCCCAGCCTTCTTTTTAAATGAATGGAATTTTTATATAGAGGAAGTATGCATATATGGAAGCAAAATACTGGGGAGAAAAAGGTACAAATTTGCTAAATCGGCAGGCATGGTAAGTTAAAACTTCAGGTTTCATCAGGACTCATATACTAAACCTGCCTTGAACCTGAATTAGACAAGATGGGAAGTAACAAATACAGAAATTGCTGGAAAAGCCCAGCAGGTCTGGCAGCATCTGTGGAGAGAAATCAGAGTTAACCTTTCAGGTTGAATGACACTTCCTCATAACTTACAACCTCAGACTTTAGCTTTTCCAGCAATTTCTGTTTTTGTTTCTGATTTACAGCATCCACAGTTCTTTCGGTTTTTAATGTGGCAAGTAATGTGTACAGTTCTGGTCATGATTCTTTTTTGAAAAAGGATTTAGAAACACTAGAGAAGGTTCAGAAAAGATTTAAAAGGAGGTTAACAGAACTATAAAGTTAGACCCCTCAGGAATAGGCCAAAAGGGTCCTCTACATTGTAAATTCCATAGAATTCTACTCGATTGCTTGTTCCAAACAAGATTTCTGCCCACTGATTTGATGAAAAAAATAGCTGGAGTTTGGATATGCAATCTCCAACATAAAATTCCCAGATATTCCCATATCTCACATGGTAAAATAATGGAATTTGTTTTAATCAGTCACCAATGATCAATGTTTGTAAAGTGTTAAGGTTTGAGAGATAACAACCATAGCCACACTAATTGAAATCCCCAACAGCAATGTAGTTTTAAAAACATTGATTTATTCAATAACCATAACAAACTCATTTAAAGGCACTGGAGGTTTGAAATAAAAACAAGAAGTGCTGGAAAAACTCAGCAAGTCTGACAGCATCAGTGGAGAAAGTAACAGAATTCGCGTTTTGAGTCCAATATGACATTTCTTCACAACTTCTAGGCTTGCTGCTATGTCTCAATAAGGGAGTATTGACTTCCAGCATATGTTTAGATTTCTTTCCCTTCCATGATAAATTACTTCTTCCCATCTTTCAATTCAAAAGTTCATATTCTCCATGGTTATTACACTGAAAATGCTAAATACCAAAATGCAAAAGAACATAATAGGCCATAGGGTCCCTCAAGTCTATTCTGCCATCCAACAGGATCATGGCTGATCATTGACCTTAACACTACTTACCCATCCTTCCTCCATATTCTTTGATTCCCTTAAATCCCATGCATCTCTTTATGTTAATATTGAAGATATTCAATGGTGAAACACCCATCACCCTGCACATAGAGTATTCCAAAATTTCAGAACCACCCAAATGAAGAAATTTCTCCTTGCCTCACCCTTTATTCAAAGCCTATAACATCCAGTTCTCAACAGCCCTCCTTCGTCTACCATTTCAAGCCCTCTCAGAATCTTTTGTCTCATTAAGATCACTTCTCATGCTTCTAAACCTTCATCTGGGATCAATCTGTTTTCCCTACCTCATATCTTACCACATGGCACTCTACCTGCCATCTCCTTTCCCACTCACATAATGTGTGTATGATATGCACTTTATTTGTGACACCATTATGGGCGCCACATATGTTACATGTTGCAGCATAAGGGACTGTTGTATTAATAGGCAGAGTGCAATATTCGTGATGCGAGATCACATGGAACTGGGACTTGAGGGAAGAAGATGCTAATGGAATCCTGCTGAACCAGCTCTCTATTTACATTACTGACAACGATAGGAGTCAGTTAACATAGTCAGCTGGATGGCTGCTTTGTGATGCAGAGTGGCTTGTACGAACTGGATTCTATTCTTCTACTGACTTACGGTGAAGTTCCCTCCTTCTCAAGCTCTCCCCCCACCTGAGGTGTGGTGACCCTCAGGTTAAAGCACCACCAGCCCTATGGTCCTGTGAGATTATGGAATCATTGCTTGCTAAGGAGCTAATAAATGTCCATTAGTTCGCAATAGCAAGGTTTCCAATCCTCATCTGTCAAAAGCATCCAGAATTTAGTTGTGGTATTTATACAAGTCATAATATCACAAATGCATCGCTGCATTTTGGGAATCTATTCTCACCATCTCTGTCCTTCAAAGGAGAACTGATGTGAGTTTAAGAGATCAGCTGTAGCAGCAAGATGAAAATCCATCAACAATTAGTTTCTGATCACCAATGAGATTAAGCACTGCTACTTGTTTTCTGCTTTGTTGATAGGGCCCTTTAATCTAATGTTCACTCTCCTCATGGTTTAAGTTGCTTGTGGCTCTATCCCTTCCGCAATTAGTATTGATGATTGATGCACTGGAAGTGAATAAAACACGAAGATTAAAAGCACTCTGTTGTCTAAATTTCTATTTAGTTTAGCATTGTTTTTTCTCCTCACCTGTGGTTTTCTGAAAATTCCTTCTGGATTATTTTTGCACACTATGAGTTATTTTATGATCGTAAAGGGGATGGGAAAAAAAATTCCAAAAATCTTTATTGTGGAAAAATTATATTTCACTTATTGGCTCAAGTATATAAACAGATTACATGGTGTTTGCCGTCATTCAGAACTTGATTAGTGACTGTTTAAAGACTTCGTAATCTTTGTAACATCAGTCTGAACTGGATTTGAACCCAATCCCTAGAGATGAAACAACTATGTGCTTTTTCTTATATTTTCCAATTAATCTGCACATAGATGTTATTACACATCTTTGGAGCAGGTGGGAGATGAACCCAGACCTCCTGTCTCAAAGTCAGGGACATTACCACTGTGACATAACAGCCCTAAAATTCACACTTAATTTCCAGATTGGACTTTCCAAATGGTCAACTCCTCACAAGGAGTATTCTCAGTTTGCTAACATGGCAACATGGTGTGGCAAATTAAAGGGAAACAGCAAGATAGTAATTTGGGCAATGATAACCAGAGAGTGCCATAAAGGAATGGAACATCCAAATCTAAGAGGGCAGTAGAAGATAAAGGCCTGAGATTGCAAGAAATGGTAAAAAGGCAGAGTTAAAGGTCCTGGAACTGAAGGCTGCATAGCATT